CTCAAACGTTAGAAAAGCAATGAACACTTTGATGCTGCACAACGAGAAGCTGCCATTCTCATCTTCCACCTGGGGAAGAACGGTAACGAGGCATCATTTCACTATGAGGCTGGCTTTACATGGCACAGAGTGGTCCAGCCCCCAAGTACGTATGGAAAACTGATGATTACAGAACACGCGTGCTAGGAAAGGGTCTTCGGCTGCAAAGAGCTAAACTCATGCAAAGGTGGAAAGGAGAGGCTGATTTAGATCCTGGTCTTTTCTTACAGGAACGTGCAAGAAGAAAGCTGGAACAGGCAGCCGTTTCTGACGGGGCTTATGGTGCACAGATGACAGAACAGCTTGTGGTGCCCAATTACAAAAGGACTGTCTTCAGGAGGGGCCTCCTACATACCACATGTCGATGCAGACTTGCCCTGGCACAAGCCCTTACCTCGTTCTATCCCACACACTCCTTCCTGCTTTCCTTACAACGTGTTTTTCAATTATCACCTCCCGCACCGGAGGCTTCCCTGCCCATTCTATACCCTCAATGCTCCTGGCAGGTCTGGGGTACTACATCTATTGACTGAGCCATTATCTCCTTTTTCAGTTGGACTATATCTTGGCGGAAATGTCCCTTCAGTCTTTGTAATCAGTAGCAGTGGCTTTTTTTTTTTTTTGAGTAAGTGCTCACAACTCTTTGTAAGAAAGCAGTAGGAAGGAATCTGTATTTACTTTAAACTTCACAATAGGTAAGAAAAGCCTGAAACTTTAGGAGAATAAATGTAAATTAAAGGCAGATGAAGACTCTGTGAAGACTGAAAATCTCTCAGAAGTGCCCTTGCCCGACAGAAGACGGGGACATCATCCCTCGGGCGCCCGGAGCATCTTGACAGGAAATGCCACCTCCGGCACAGGTCGCACGGTCCATCCTCCTTCCAGTTCTGTGGATGAGCCAGTGATCAACAGAAGGTGGTTCTGAACCCTGGTATTCTCCTATTTTTAAAAAAGACATTCTATTTCATTAGGCAAGTTCGGCTTTACTTCATTGTAAAATACAGAATGCCAGAAATGGAACATGAAAGGTGATCTTTGCCTGGAGATTTTACCTGTAGTCAAGCACTTTGTTCTCACCCCCCCGGCATGTCAGAAGTGCCATATGGTTTTTCTCACCTTCGAATAGTTCCATCCTCTTGGTCCCAAATGATTTCCCCTCCATTTTCCTTTGAAACAGCCCATCTACTTTTACAACGACATTGCTAACTCCCACTCCTCTTTTCTTGAAGCGGAATACAAAATTAGATTCTTTTTGTGTTCACAGAGTAGGTAAAGTGGGGAACCAGTAGATAAAAGTGGGGAACAGGCAAGGCAAGGGCAGAACAGACATGATAAATTACAAAATGGTCCACAGAGGGTCACAGACTCATCTTGTGAGCTGGCTGTACAGCGATATGTATTGATCACTCAGAGGACTGCAACCTGGATCAGCTGTGGGATGGGTGGATTATGATGGTTAAAGCAATCTCTTTTTTCTCGGCAGTGTAACTGGCCACTTGCTCTTTGTCAGGCAGTTTAAATCCTGCATTTTGAGGCTATAGTCCTGAAACAGAATTGCTCAGAACTGAGCAGGTTCTGAGAAATAGCTGTATTTAGGACAATAATGCGTCTGGACAGATAGCTGTGGCTGCACCAGGTCATTTCTCAGCTGTGAAAAAAGAATTTCTGTGTTGGTTATATGAATGACTAGGTCCTGTTGACAGCCAGGTTGAGAGAGCAAGCCAGGTTAGAATTGACCAACACAAAGGATCTGAACGTTATAGAGTCAATTCTGACTCATGACGACCCTACAGGACAGGGTAGAACTGCCCCTGTGTCTCTGAGACTGTAACTCTACTGGAAGTCCAAAGACCTGGCTTTCTCCCACAGAGTGGCTGGTGGTCTTCAACTGCTGACCTTGAGGTCAGCCGCCCAATCAATAGGTAGCCACCATGCCTCCAGGGTTCCTAGACCAATAAAGGCAGTGTTTCAAACAGGCATATCAGACACAAGCACCTGTGCCTCCCCTTCTCTTCCCTACCACACCTCGCCATCCATAGCAAATGAGTCCCGGCAAGGTTTCCCCTCCTACTCCTGTACGAGTAGTCCCTGTGTGCTTCAAAAGGGTAAGCGCCTGGCTACTAATCAAGAGGTTGGTGGTTTAAATCCACTTAGAGGTTTGGAAATCTACGTTCGAGAGGCCACTGCCCTCCAAACCCACTGTCACAGGGCACCGCTCTGCAATATGAGGTCAATAGTCTGTGGCAACTGGTGTGGTCTTATGAACGCCTATGTAGAGCACCAAACTTTATTTCAATAACGTCTCGCCCAGCCATTATCAATTAACTAGAACTTGTCTTACTAGCATTGACTAAAAAGGAAATAACATGTGGCCGTTATGTACAAGGCGTTTTAAAGGGCTGCCTGCCTCCGTCAATCCACCCATTTGCTACTGAGGCAGACAGTGAGGCCCTTTCTATCACACAGGCATGAAGTATGCTAAGGAGAGGCTTAATTTTTTTTTTTAGCTTTTGTCCTGGAATCGCCAATTAATTGTCGTTGGAGTCATGATGCAAATGGAGCCGATGCTGTCACGAATGGCCCAATCTGACGGTAGCAGGGCTGCAGGAAGGGTGATGTCAGAAGACACCCTTCCATGACTTGGAGGAGACCAAGCAGTCAATGCACCCTGGAAGAAAGCCTTGAAATAGAAAAGGTTTTTTTTAGCTCAGTCCAATGCCAGGCAAAATTAGTTTTGAAATAGTTCAAAAAGAAAACAATTTAAAAAAATCAAACTTAAACAAAACAAAGATCCTGTAAATATATTCCTTTGTCCAAGAAAATGGAGAGGAAGTAAGCCTGCTAAGCAACAGATTCCTTGGAATATTCCCCCATATGCTGGTTTCAGCAATAATCTCACTTTATTCCCATATCATTTCTCTATGAGAATGGATTTTATGCACGTGAATTATGATGTAAGTATCTTTAGATCCCAAACCTAAAACAGGTGCGTACTAAAACTTCAAATTAGTATAAATCTCACTTTCTATGAGTTCCAGAGGGTCAAAATATTATCAGTGGTAGTCTGTCAGTCACCAAACACATAGGGGTGCTTACCATATGTCAGGTGGAAGGACAGTGGTGATCTGGCGGATCCAGTGTCTGCCTAAGAGTTCAAATTACTCAGTAATAAACTTTGTCAAGACACACCAAGCACTGAGGACGACGCCCCTGCTGGGAGCAGCGAAGGCACACAGAAGACTATCGGGCCGACAGCAGCTCGAGACCTGATGTCCCCACAGTGGAGCACGGCGCCACAGAGGACAATATTGGGGACACAATGCGGGGAGTGAATCTGGTCTGACACCCCCATAGTGGGGAGGATCAGAATGGAACAGAGCACCAATGGGAGCAAAGCCATGAAGCTCCCGAGGAATCCCCAAAATAGACTTCAGACAGAGGGGCAGTGCCTGGGGCCCCACCGGACTGGTGGGGAGATAGTCACAAAGGTCAGCGGACAGGCCTGGAACTAAGTATAGGGTTTTTCTTTTTTGTTGCTGTTGTTGCTGGTTGTTTGTCTGTTGGTTGGTGTTTTGTTTTCATTGTATCTGTTTTGTCTATCTATAGAAAACAGGCATGAGAAGCAGGGGGGTGGGTCTTAGGGGAGGAGGCGGTGTGGGGGTGGGGAGCGGGGAAGGGGACTGGGAGAAAACAAGGTCACGGACAGGGGAACAACTAGGGATCTAACATCGACAGCAAGGGGAGCACAGAGTCCCTGGTGCTGGCGGAGCAGCCATATCTAGCCATGAGGAATCGCTGAGAGACAAATGAGTGGTGACCATGATATAGTGGGACAGGAGGAAGGCAAAAGGAAATAGAGGAATGAACTAGGAAGCAAAACTATGTGTAGAGGTATAAACAGAGAGGAAAGACAAACCCCCTCAGAATCAGTGATGGGTGCAATGATTCCAGAAGGGCAGAGGAAGGGAAACGGGGGAAGGAGAGGAAGGGGGAACGGATAGCAATGACAGAATAGCCCCCCTTGAGGGGGATGAATAAAAGGATAGTAGGTGAAGGGATAGAATGGGTGGTGTAAGATATGTATAAATGATAATAATAATATATATTAAGGGTTCACGGCTGTGGGGGAGGGGACATGCTATCAAAGGGCTCAAGAAGAAAGATAATGGTTAGAAATTGTTGATGCCAACAATTGTACATGTCCACCTGATATAATTGATGATGTATGGATTATTATAATATATGCAAGAACCCCCAATAAAAAGATTTATTAAAAGAAAGATTAAAAAAAAACAACATTGTCAAACATTTCCCCCTTCATATCTCAAATATCCCAAGTACACAGTATCTCAGAGGTAAACGGTTTTGAATCTTTAGAAATGAGGGAATTGATATGCATAGCCACCCATTTTATAGGGGTTCTGGTTAAATATTCGGCAACTCACTAAAAGGTCAGCAGTTGAAACCCACCTGAGGTTCCATGGGTGCGCAGACCTGGTGATCTATCTGTCCTGTACAGATCACCCCCTAGAAACCCTGTGGGGCAGTGCCACTCCGTCCTAGGAGCTATCTTTGCGTCTGGGTGGACTTGATGGCACACTGCAATAACAGACCCATTGTATGCACGGGGCAGCTGAGTATGAGAATGCTGACTGATTTCTCCTTAACCACAGGAGTGCTCAGTCAGTCCCCAACCCCCCACGGACACGCGTGAGACACTCATGAACGGTGTCTGGGGTATTGGCTCTACTCTTGTCACTGTTGTTGGAATCTACAGCAATATTTCACCTTTACAGGTACTGGGCTCACTCTATAACCTGGTTGACTGTTCCATGGATCAGATCTCAAAGAGACCTAGTTTTTTTCTAACAGGTGTTGCAAGTAAGAATTTTCATTTCAAAGGAAACAAAACACCTCCGAAAGGGGGGAAAAACATTTCAGAAGAAAATACTGGTACTTACCTCATTGTGATGAAGCTTAACTGAAAAAAAATTCCTTATGGCTTCAGTGATTGATAGAAACAGGCTCTCTTGGCACTATTAGGGGAAATCAAAGAATTTTTGGTGATGTTTTTGTCAATACGCATAAAGGAGACAATAACAATGTTTTTGATGTTATATCCATAGGCTTAGAGTTATTTTCAGAAATTACAATTTGCTTTTCTGTGTTCTAACAAATAAATGTACGCACTGAGGTAAATAATGTCTTCCTGTGAGGTTGCTGCTAACACTGCTATATTTTTGTGTTCAGCTTTCTCTTGAAGATCCAGAAGTTGAGCAAACTCACACAGTCCTACCTATTTGATATGTTTACACATTTGAAACCAGAGCATGCATACAAGGGATTACTAAAAAAACAAATAAACAAAAAACAGGATTTCCCCCCTCCAAAGCTACGTATTTAAATTTTTAACAAAACAACCTTATCACCTTCAAAGTACTCACCAGGACACTTAATACATTTGTCAAATCTGTGATTCTGTT